GTTGTCTGTCTTACCTCAGAGTGATGCCTCTACTCATGCCAAAGTTGAGGAAACCTTCTCGGCACAGGTTGCTCTTTACCTAAGTGCACCCCATGCTCTCTGGGCCCAGCTGTTGTAATCATGGGTGCGCGTGCCAGTCACCCATGTTTCTCAGACCCAAGTGCCTACAACTCAGGGGGTATGCAAGGCCTCAGGTGCCTGCCATAGTGTCTAGAGGCCGGAGGGCGGAAATCCGGATTTAAATCGATTTCCCTAAACACACACACACACACACAAAACCTGCAGTGGGAAAGGGCTGTTGAACTAATCTCTATTTCAGTTTGAAAGGGCGGGGAAGCTGCTTAAGTCATTCTGAGAACACTTAAGCTGGAAAGTACTTGGGTTTTTCACTGTTAAGTTATTGCTACTCTTCCATCCTATCTAGAACATACATTTATTTGAATAAGCTGAAGTCAGGCCTGATATGGGTACTATCTTTGATGTTTCTTTTTGAACCTAGGAATGGAAGGGAGTTTCCAGAACCTACTGTGTGCATGCCAGCGTGATGCAGGTCTTCATTCTATATGATCATATAAAGATAAATAGTTCCAGGGCACTGCACTTGCCAGGCGGAGATCGTGTCCTGGGAGGACATGGGTTTCCGTGTCCTAAGCAGGAGATTGCCATCCTGACTGCCCAGTGCTATCACTGGGGAGGGTGACAGATGTGGTTCCCATTCTAGAGGGTCCAGTTGAATCAGCCTGGGTTGCAGCTGGGATGGTAAAATCTTTCTCCATGTGTCTATCTCAGTGTGAACCCAGGGTTGAGAACTGTCGTGGTTCTCAGCTTTGTTTTGTGCTGGAAACTCTGGGAAGATTTCAAAGATGCTTCATTCTGCAAGTTGTGACTTCACATGTCGGGGGAAGCTGAGTGTCGGATTTTAAACATGATTTTAATGTGCTGCCATGATTGAAGACCACTGTTTATATTTGTGTCTCAAACTTGGGTGTGTATCTATCACCTGGAGGGTGACCCTAAGCTCAGTGAGGCAGGAGAGGCCCGACCCACGGTGACCCTCCTGCAGTCCTGTTTGCCAGCCTGCTATAGGATTTGGAGAACAGAAAGGCGTTGATGTGACAGGGATCTGGGCTGTGACTCCTTGCACTGGCCCCAGGGCTAGTCCTGGGTTGACCTCAGCAGGGAAGAATGAATGCCATGACCCTACGTTAAGTTACTAAGGTTTCCTCCTTAAAAAAGAACAAAAAAGCAACCAAAAATTGCCCTAGCAAAGTACAGAGAAAATACAAATTTGTTCTAAGTTGCCAGTGACGGTGTTATTGTACACTCTGTCAGTTTGCATAATGGGGGTTCAGTGTATTAAGGAAAAGGTAAAGATAAAGAGTGGGCAAGGAGCTTTTTTTTTTTTTAAAGCTTTATTTATGCTTACAGAACTGGGGTACAGAGGTGTGGGAGTGGGTGAGCGGATTAACCGAGACAAGGTAGGGAGCAGAACAGGCAGATGTACTGAAATACACTGCTGAAAGGAGCAGTGGGCGGGTCAGGAAAGGTCTGTGTGGGAGCTTCTGCCTTCTGCTTTTTTTTTTTTTAAATACAGTTTACCTATGAGAGATCTGAGAAAGCCACTAACACCTCTGTCATCTCAGTGATGAGTTACTAGCAGTGCCAGCCTCCCCATTCAGGCTGGACTCAGTCCCGGGAGAAACCCTTGATGTGTACCCCATGGTCTTGATCGTGTCCACGTGCCCTCCAGGAGTACTGAGCACTGCGAGTACTCAGCACTGGGCACTGGGAGTACTCAGCACCGCGAGTTTTCCTGTCTTTACCCTCACCCGGGCTGCTCATAGCAGCTGCTGTAACATAACATTCACTGTAGACTGGGTGTGCAGGGCCAAGGCCACCTTTGTCCTGCTCCCAGCTTAGCCACCTGAACTGATCATGTTACCTGAATGACAGAGTGAGCAGACATTACCTGATCCCACCTTCACCATGAATCCAAGCACTCCAGGGCTGACCATGATTGAACTGACACCTGACTGCCCACTGGCCCTCTGCACTCAGGCTCACGTCTGTTCTGTCTTTGTTTTTGGTCCCAGCCACTTTATGAATGAAAAGAAATTGTTGAAACAAGGAGATGGATCTTTGAGAGTGTTATTAAGGGGGACACCTGGGGGTCTCTGCCTCCCTTTATAGCCTGGATAGGTGGGCCTGGGTGTATGGAGTGGTGGAAAAAGGAGACCAGGCTTCTGTAAAGGAGGGGTTGCTAAAGACTGACCCTCTGCTGAGACCGAAGCCACCTATGTGGGAGAAAGATCGGGCTAGTGTAGGGTGTGTGCATCACCACAGATGTACTGGCTCTGTGACCCTAGGTTGTGCTCTGGATCGACTTCTATAGCCTCTGTGACTGTGATGGAGGTGGCTCGCTGGAGCCGTTACTCCTGGCTGGAAAGCAGCGAAAGCCTGTGGTTTGCAGCACCCGGGTAGAGTGGGGAAGAGGAAAGGACAGCCAGGAAGGCAGCAGGAGGCAGCAGGAGGCCTTTGTCTGCAGGAAGTGGGCTGGCTCAGAGGTCAAGGGTCAGGGTTGAGGTCATGGTGCATTTAAATCTGCGCCAGGTCACCCCCCCCCCCAACTAGAGAGACAGGGTCTAAGGAAACCCACTGACACCCTCCACACCCTCTGGGACATTCCACTGTGCTGTGTGTTGGTGTGGTGTCATGTCAACTGAGACAAGACATTGATTATCCAGCCTTGATTATGCACATCCCATCTCCAGAAGGCTTACAGGCAAGGTGACCCTCAGATTTCTTGTTCGTTGTAGCTGCATTTGCCAGTGAAAAAGCAGCTGAGCCCCCAGCTCAGTTTTATGGGGGAGAGAGGTACCTTTGGGGGGCTGTTTCTCTGGGTGTTATGCTCTGCCATCCCACAGCTTGGAGGAAGGCGAGTTCCACTTCTCAGCGAGTCAGGCTCACGGGGCGCTCCTTTCTGCTGTTGACGCCATGGCCTGTCCACCTCTGTGTCCCTTGTCCTGGTGCACTCTGCTTCGCCCAGGTGACAGCACCATGTCCATGCCCAGTCACGGGCATCCTCCTCCCACCCATGTTTGCTCGCTCCCTGGTGGCAGGTGCGTGTGAATGGACAGTTTTGTGGCAGTTGGGGACAGGCAGGATCCCTCCTGAAAGGCAGCACACATCTCATGGAAGGTGGGGAGCCCAAGGCAGGAGAGAGAGGAGCACCCGGGATGGGGGTGTCTCTGCCTCTGTATGTGGTTGTGTTGGTTGTATTGATGGGGCTGTCAGAGCTTTGTTTCATTTCCTCTTCACTTTGGGAGGGTGAGGGACGCAGTGTGCTATTTTACATGCAGTGGAACAGGGGTAATGGATGTGATCTACCACTGGTGAGGGGTACATTGAGACTCCAAATCCCAAACCTGAATGCATTCTCCTTTCTGCACACAGGCTGGATCTGCAGGATGGCTGTTGGGGAAGAAGTGGGGTGTCAAGTGGGGTGTCAGGATGGGGGAAGAGTGCTTGGATGTTACCTCCCACTAAGTATCGGGCTTGGCTCTTGTGCTAGGTTAGCATGACACTGAGCAGACAGTATCCCTTGTGTCATGGAGGGTTGTACCCAAATGGACCTTACCCAGGGGTGGGCCATCCCATCGGGAAGCTGGAGCATCGGGAGGTGTGCTCCTCAAGGCGCCTTGACACCCAGCTGGGTCCTGCTTTGTTGGGTTGCCCGTTGCCCTCCCCTTACTTACAGCTTTCATATTGTGTGTGGCTCCTCGAAGATCCCGTGGGGTGTGGGACAAGTCAGGGGCTGTGGCTGCTGGGTAGTGCTGGCATGGCATATATTTCACTGTCCCTGGACTCACTTGGAGCAGACCCACCCTAAGATGAGCCACAGGCTAAAATTCAAGCCTCACCTGCAAATGCAGCATCATTTTTAGTGTCACAGTTGAGGGACTGCATATATGAGCTCAAATCTAAACCAGAGGGGAAGTCCTGTTAGGTCAAGGTTGAGTTTGTCACTGTAGGAATAGTGGTGTGTAATAAACTACAGCAGTTTTCCTATTCTGTTCAGTCATAAGATTCCCTGGACAGGGGCTAAAATCCAGACAGATTGCAATTTCAAACTCCTCTGCCTTCTCCCTCCGTGAAACAAATCCTACTCTGCTGCCTGGAGAGTGGAGGTGCAATGGTCTGTATCAATAAGAAATCCTGGCCCTGCCTGGTATTGTGATGGGTTGGGACACAGCACTGCAAGCTGGCTGCAGCCACTTCAGAGCCGGTTCGATCCCCAGCCCCAGAGGTGATCCACATGGCGCGGTGACCTCTCCTGACCCACCCGCTGTTCCCCTCAGATTCCCTTTGTCGATCTGCCTGCTGTGCTTCCCACTCTGTCTCATGAAACCTCACCGCCCCTGCACCTCTGGCCTGTACCCCAGTTCTGTATGCATAAATAAATAAATCTTTTTAAAAAGAAGAAGAAATCCCGTGGCACTTGGTGTAAAGGAGCACACGGCTGGTGAATGCTGACTGCTGGCCTTGACTTCCTCCTCAAGTTTCAGCTCTCACATGAGGGAGTCCCTGGGCTTGGAGCCCCGTAGATGGGGTGAGCAGCTCGTGGAGTGTTCTGCTTGACTGGGGTGCATGGGGCCCAGCACCCAGGTCCTGCTCAGCTGCCTTGGACAGATCCATAGGGGTTCTTTCCCAGTGTGATGGCTGCTGGTCGGATGTGCTGTCTGGCCCTAGGCTTGTGATGGTGGGACTGGGCTGGCCGTGGGGAGCTGTGAGCTTCCAGGGAGCCCTGTGAGTCAGAAAGATCCCAGGGTTGCAAGTCTGTTTGCAGTAGTTCCTGTAACTTTCCTGAGTAATCAGTGTGATGGTGTTGAAATAAAAGGGTCTTTGAGAAACTTTAAAATATGAGTGATCTAATGTTTTAATGAAGGGCACACGCATTTCATTGTTCTGAAAATGCCTGCATTTCCTTTGTCTCCTAATAGGCAACATGGGTGATGAGCCTCTGGCAGGGAGACTTCGAAAGCTGAGCCTTGGGCAGTATGACAATTCGGGGGAGCAGCCAGCCTTCTCCAAGTATGGATGGGGGAAGAACACCAGTGTGGACCAGACTCCAAGCCGGCCTTTCCTGTCTCCAACAGATGCCAAAGAGGTACCCGCCAGCCCTGAGAGTTGCCCTGAGCCATATCTCCAGGCCCATTCCCCCCCGATGTGGTGTCTTAAAGTGAATGTGCAAGGGTGATGTCCAGTCTGGTCCCTTAAGTCATGCCCACAGCAGCCCCACCTCCCTCCCGGCTCCCTGCCCATCTTTCAGACACGGTCCTTGAGGCACAGGTGGTGTGGTCTGGGGGCCAGGCGAGGGTCCCAGTCTCCTGAGATAGCTACAGATGTTGCCACCTCTTTTGAGTTATCTGAGCCTGTGCGCAGAATGGGAACCAAGTCGGCATCATGCCGCTGGTGGGTTTCCAGGGTGAGAGATCTCAAGGATCCATGAGTGGACTCTGCTGCCAAGAGCAGACAGACTTGCTGGCAGCCATTTCCGAGGGCCCCACTTCCACCCAGACCTTCGGAGGCCCCTGGGAGGGGAAGCAGGAGGATGGGAGTCAGCTGGGTTGCAGTGGGATCATAGAGCCTCGTCTAGAGGCTTAGTTAGTTAAGGCTTTCAATCAGAATTGAAGATAAGCCAGCATGCTCCAAAACCAGGAACCTTTCAAACCAGGATTTTATTTATTCTGAAGGCATTAAAGTTGATATCCAGAGTACACAAGAAAAAAAATCACATGAAGTTTTAATACATAAACAAAGCTAGTGTTAAATTTGAGGTAACCCCTTCCGGTCTTTATGCTGTATCCATAGGTTTAATTTTCAGTGTATCTATGAATATACAATAGATAAAAATGGTTTTATCTTCTTTTTTCACACATAATGTAATACTCACTTTCCCCACGTAATTAATCTCCCTGCCAATTCTACCTGTTAGCAATGTGCTGTTGTAGTAACAGTGACAATATGAATTTTTCTTGTCCCTTTGCTATTGGGGCTTTTCCTTCTTTTCATGGTTGGGAGAGGTGGGCCTGGTTCTGTGCCTTGGATTCAGAACTTGACCCCCTGCTTCCCACTCAGATGAGGGCAGCTCAGCGGCATGGCCAAAGACCCCTCTGCCTGGAGGTGGCCCTTACCTGGCTTCCTTGTGTCTATTTCAGGTGGTGATCGCCACGTATCCCTCAGACCTTAGTCTCCTTGATGGCAGGATTTTCTCTGCAGTCAAAAGCAGCAGTGAGCCTGTGTCACCCACACCAGTGTTTCCTGTGTCTCCAGAGACACCATATGGTAAGAAAGAAACAAAACTTGCCCAGTACAGATTCATTCCTTCAGGAGAGAACTGGCCACAGAGCCTGACTTTGCCTCTTTTGCAGTGACAGCGCCCTCGCAGTATTCTCTGTTCAGCACACCTGGGACGCCGATGGGCAGTGCCGGTGGTCTGTACAAAGGAGGTCACGGTAAGACCACTGCTCTGCGCGATCACCATTCAACTATGCATCCTCTCATGTAGAAATGTTTCCATGTGTGTCTCACCTCAGCAGCTTCGAGAGAGAGCGTGGGTCTTGGGGAGAGGTGTGGAATGTGCTGTGCAGCCCACAGGGCAGGTGTGGGGGTGGGGGTGGGGGTGGGGGCGGGGTGGGGGTTAGCAGAATGCTGTGGGCTCCGTTGTGTCCTGACAGGCGCTGTTGCAATGTCCCCCGAGACAAACACTTCTGGAAAGGGTCATGGTGCTCTTGGCAACTGAAAACCTCAGTGCTTTGAAAGCCCCAGGCCAGGACTGTGACCCCAGGCAGCTGGAGAGGACCCCTAACTCAGGCTCTGCTTACATTTTAAAGTTGCTCTTCTTTGTCATTGTAGATTCTTTATGCAGGTGTATTTCTACCTTGGTGAAGGCAAGTGAGGATGCACATGTTAGGGAATGGGACATTAGCACTAAATTGTAGTTATCCTGCCTTTTGCTCAAGAGTAGTTGCAGTAATAACAGTTAGCTCCATTTCCCCGCTCTCTCCAGACACAGCCAGATCTGCATGTCAACCCTGGAACGGGGTTTCTGTTATGGTGTCAGGATCATAAACACCTTTCTTTGTACACAGACCATAGCATAGCAGCTGAAGTACTTACTTAGCAGGTATGACTGGAATGCAGGTTAAGTAAAACTGGGCAGTGTTGTTTCATTTCTGTTTGTACATTGTGTACTTTATAGTATATATCCTGTTTATACACTTCATACTATAACAATTGCTTGTTCCAGTGTGGGTTTAATACACAGACGCTAAGTAGGGCCATGTGTTTGTTCTTGTACATTTTAATAATTTAGATGGAAGCTAGAACAGGGACCTGCCTCCATCCCCACAGTGCCCCCTACTCCCTGGCCCACAGCACGTGAAGGCTTATGTGAATGTAGTCAGTGGGTTCCGACTGGCACCCAGCCAGTCGGATTCCTGACTGGGAATCCAGTCAGGTCCCACAGCACCAAGGACAGATTATTTGGAATAACCTGGTGTAGTGAGGAAGGGCGATAAACCAAGACAAAAATGAACAACAAAAACTGTACACTCCCTTGCAGCTTGCTGTAGGCTTTTAGGGTCACTAGGTGGAGCTTAGAAGGAATAAGAAAGGAGGAAAACCGCTCCTGAACTTGGTAACGGTCTGGGATTCACTGATGTACAGGGACTTGCCAACCTGACTGCTGTAGCCGGAGTGTGTGGGCGAGGGCAGATGTGGGCTGGTGAGTGCATATGAGCAGGCTCGAGCTTGGCAGTCGGATCCTCACACCTGGCACGTCCTGGGCTTCAGGGCAGTCAGAGGTACCTTCTGTGTATAAGTACATATTTAGAAGAAGGAGGACTTTGATCGTGAGTATAAAAAGCATACATGTTAAGCCGGAGCTATTCCACCTTATCTGACTCGGAAAACTATGCTCTCAAGGGCTCTGGGACCAATTTCACTGCAGAGTGCATGAGAGTTTTCTCACATTCGAAGCAGATGATTCTCTACCACCACCTGGGTGTCTTGCAATTTAATTTCATGCTGACACTACCTGGAAATAGTGTTGGATTTGAGAGGTGAAGGGCTCCATCCCACAGAACTGCTCTCCACTTCATATGTGAATGTCAAGTCCAGGCTTTTGCCTGTACTTTGAAAATGCCACTTACAGGCCTGGAAATGCCAACAAGCCCTTCCTCAGTTCAGTTAATTTGCCAAAGCTGCTCGTAGAAGTCAGACAAACATTTTCCTTATTAGATCACCAGTTGATTAGAAAAGGCTATACATTAGGACATCAGGCATTGTTCTGGGTTCCTTCTGGAGTTTCCATGGCCTCACTAAGCACTTCACTCCTCAAATCTCCATGAGTCCACCAACCTGGAAGCACTGTGAATTCTGCCCTTTGGGGATTTCTAGGGAGGTTTCACTATATAGGCATGGTTGATTAAATTGTTGAACATTGACCATTGAGCAACTTCCCCTCATCCCTTTCCGTAGGTCTAGTAGGGATGGGATTGATTGGAAGCTTAACCCTCTAGCCCCATGGTTACTTCCACTGGCAATCAGCCCCATCCTTTGAGCTTTCAAAAGGTCACCTAATTAACATAGCAAAAGACAGCTTTGGCTGTCATCTCTTAGGAAATCCCAAAGACTTTAGGAACTGGAAATCGGGACTAAGATCAAATATGTCTTTCTTATCATAAATCACAATGTATATTGCAGCTCTGCAGAGTCAGATGGGATGACCGGGCCCTTGGAGACTCTGAGATGATGAGGTGGCTCATGTTTACAGACTACATATGCCCCATGTTCTTTCTTGTATGATTTCTTTGCTCTTGCACTCACATTACTGACAACTCTTTTTTTTTTTTTTTAAAGATTTATTTATTTTGTGCATACAGAGCTGGGGTACAGGCCAGAGGCTCAGGGGCAGTGAGAGGCTTCACCAGAGACAGAGTGGGGAACAGAACAGGCAGATCGACGAAGTACACTGCTGAGGGGAGCAGCGGGCGGGTCAGGAGAGGTCTGCCACGCCATGTGCCTCTCCTCCAGGGCAGGTGGGAATTGAACTCATGCGGAAGTGGCTTACGCTTCTTAGTGCTGTGCTTTAACTTGCTGCGCCACCAGGGAGGGCCCACTGATAACTCTGACTGTGACCTAGTCACAGATAAGGAAATTGACACAGTCAGTCTTACTGCAAGCTATTTTCTCTTTGTTCAAATGTTAGATTAGACAAGACTGGTTTTTCAACTGGTTGTGGCATAATAGCAATACTGAAAAAGAATGTGGAAGTCTCAGAGGACCTGGGTTTTCGTGCAGTTGTGGAATAAATATGACTTGTAAAGGTAGATGACTCACTGACCCTCTGTTTCCTTACCTGCAAATATAGACAAAAATCCATCATTCACGACTGCACTGTTTGGGGCAGGTATCTAAATCTACATATAAATGAGAGTATTTGCTTTAAATTACTGTTAGGAGAGTGATACCTTCCTGGAAAATGAGGTAGGAATGCTTCTCCCATTGCTTCTGCCCTGAACAAATAAAAATCGTGCACGCTGTGTTTAAAGCAAATGCATGAAGGTGCAGACAGGAAGGCAGACCTGGCCCTAGACCATCGGATCCAGGCACCTGAGGATACCACCTCCTGAGTCATAAAACAAATTCCAACAGATTAAAAGAATTAATATATACAGTGTTTTCCAACCATGAATTAAGCTAGAAATCAGTAACAGAGAGACCAGAAAATCTCTAAATGCCTGGAAATCAAACAACACCCTTGTAAATAAACCATGGATCAAAGAAAAACTGAACTGAATAAAACAGGAAGACACATTTAAGTTTATGGACCAAAACTAAAGCAGTGATGAGCGGGACATTTGTAACAGGAAATGCATGCAGTCAAAAAGGGGAGAAATAAGTTTGAAATGAGTACTTTAAGTCCCTGTCTCTGTATACTAAAGAAGAGCTGTGTAAGCTCTAAGTAGGTATAGGAAGGAAATATTGAAAATATGAGCAGGAATCAATGAAATTGTAAAGACAGAAATAATAGGGAAAATAAATGAAGGAAGGAATTGGTTCTTTGAAAAAATTAAATTTTTCAAACCTATAGCAACACAGACAAAAAAGAGGGAAGACACAAAGACTAATAACAAGAACAAAGGCTATTGTTGAAGACCTTACAGGAGCACAGGGCAGGAAGAACCACCATAAGCACTACACACATAGAAGCATAAATTGACAAGTCACTCGAATAGACAATCTGAATAGCTGTGGTTATTAAGGAAATTGAATTAGTCATTTACAAACTCCCAACAAGTAATCACCAGGTTTAGATGTTTTCACTGAGGATCCTCATAAATGCTTAAAGTAGAATTAACTCCAGTTCTATACAGTATCTTCCAGAAAACTGAAGAGAAGGGAATACATCTCAATTTGATATTTAAAGTTGTATATCTCTGATAACAAAAGCAAACAAAGACAAGATAGTATGATTGTTTACATAGGAAATGGCAAAGAATCTATAAAATACTCCCATAATAAATAAGTGAATTCAGCAAGGTTGTTGAATCTAAAATATAAGATACCCACATAAAAAGTTTATTGTACTTGTATATACTAGCAATGAACATGTAGGAACCTTAGTTTAAAAAGGTACTTTTTATAATAGGTTTAACAATGAAATACTTAAGAGTATCAAAACATGTACAGGACTTGGTATGCTGAAAACTATACAATGTTGTTGAATAAAATCAAACATAGTAGATGTTCATAGGCTTAAAAATTCAACCAAGTAAAGCTGTCATTCCCTCCCAAATTGATATGGACTCCCAAATAACAGAGATCCCATCACAATCCCTCCAAGATAGCTAGAGAAAAGTAATTCAACTAAGGCAAAGGTAACTATAATAGAGTGATTTTGAAAATGAATAAAATGAGAGGAAGGATTTCACCTAATTTGCAGACTTACTATCCAGCTTTAGTAATCACTACTGTGGCTTTGGTGAAAGGATAAACACAGAGACCAATGGAATAGAATAGAGTGCCCAGATCCATTGTGACCGACCAACCTTTAAAGTCGCAAAAGTAAGTCAGTTAAAGACCTTTCAACAACAACAAAATGGACATCAACCAAAGTGTTCACTTTATATTTACAAACTTAAATGTAAAGCTGTAAAACCTACAGGAAAAAAAAAAGTAGAAAACCTTTGAAATTCATACTAGGCAAGAATTCTTAGATTAGCACCAAAAACAAAATTAATAAATTAACTTCATTGATATGGACAACTTCTGTTATAGAAAGGGCCCTAAGAGAATAAAACAAACGACAGACTGGGTGAAAATATTTGTATTCTGAAGGCTCAGTAATAAAGAAGCAGACAATCCAATTAGAAAACGGGCAAAAGGCATGAAGAGCCATTTCATGAAAGAAGACACAGATGGCAAATAAAGGCATTCAAAGGTGTTTGGC